CCGACTCCACATTCATGCATGCATGTGCACACATGCACAAACACATAAACACAATTTTACAATGTTTAAAAGAACATTTATGGCAGCTTTTAATAGCTACCAATTTAAAGCATTAGATATTCATTGACTAGATAAACAAACTGTGACATAGTCACATGATGGAAAAAAGGACTGAATTCTTAAAGCATAATCTCAAATGCCTCAGTAAAAATAAACACTACTTGAATCCATTTACATGATGTTCCAGAGCAGATGAGGTTAACCTATGGTGGGACAATGAAAGATTACAACAATGGCTATGCCTGGGCATAAAGGGAACTTTAAGAGCCACAGTAATAGTCTACACTTTATTAGAGACTTTGGTAGTATACATTCATTAAGCAGTACAAATAACATCTGTATATCCCACTGTACATAAACTTCTTATAAAAACAAAAGGAACTGTAAAACTAAAAAAAGCCACTGATTTCTAGTTATTGATGCAGGTAGAACTTTTAGGAATGCGTGCTTACACCTGCAAGTATAAAATTCATCAGGATATCAGATAAGTGCCTAGTGTGGAGGTACACCCCATCTCTCTGAGTTTGGCACAAGCCTTAAAAAAATCAGATAAGCTGGACAGAGCAGCTCATCACTGAATGGGAGGGGCTGGGACAGGATGGTTGTCACAAGTCTGAGACCAGCCTGGGCTTCACAGTGAGTTCCAGGCTCCACTGTCAGAGACTGTCTCAGAGCAAAACCATAGATTGATGGGAGGTAAGAGTGGGCAGACATGTGATAAAGCAGCCACGGTGAAAGAGTAATAGAACCTAAGATGGTAGCTATATTGGTATTCATTGAGAAACAACCAGACAACAATAAACTGTACATATCTAACTTGTATAATCTGAGAGTACCTAGCATATACCGACATATGATACCATTAGCACAATCAAGATAAGTAAACATAAAAGTCTCTTCCACTTTGTTATTGTTATTTCAGAGTCTCAAGCTCCCTATATAGTTAAGAATGACCTTAACTCCTGATCCTCTGCCTTCACTTCACTGTGATGGCAGGAGTATGAGACAGTTATATAGAACATGCTGTTTTAGTTTGGCTTTATCAGTTATTAAGTGGGCTGGCCATACTGCCATGTATATCAGTAACCTGAATTCCTTTTTATTCATATGTATGATATTTAGAATGTTGTTTGGAGCGGGACAAACCTACCACAAATATTCATATGTATGTTTACCAGTAATGTAAATTGAATGCAGGATCTCGTACACACCAGGTCTACTATCCACTTATACCACTGTGCTACAGCCCCCGTCCTTTCATTACTTTTTATTTTGAGACAAGTTCTTGCAAAAGTTGTCCTGACTGGCCTTGAGTGTTTAATTTTCCTGCATTGATCTCCTGAATAGCTGGGATAATGGGCTTGTACTACCAAACCTGACTTGTATACAAGTGTTTCTATAGACAAAGACCTCATCTACCTCAGACTTCCAAATCTGCTGCATCAGGTATCAAAACTCAGCTGGAGAAATATGCCTAAACAGTCCAAAAGGCCTTTAAAGTCAACACGACTGTAAGCAAACTTGAAAAGATTCTTTTCCACTTCCTTAACATTTCTGCAGTCATTAGTGAGGGGCTAAGTCCTGACAGTTCTGCCTTTTCAATACCACTCACATAGCAAATGAGTGTCTCTCTTAGATAACCTTAGTAAACCAGGCTGTAGCTTCTCTCCCTTACCCTAGGTCCCATTCTTCCCTTTCCTTGACCAAAATTCAAATCAAGTGTTAACTTCCTCATTGGCCAGATGTGCTAGACCATACTTATAACCCAGCACTAGGGTGGTTGAGCTAGGACAGCTAAGCTGCACATAAGACTAGTCTGGGCTACAGGATGAGACTGTCTGAAAAAACAAAACCCTTGCTTAAAAAGGAGTTTTCTCTCTAGACATACCTGCTACCACCTTTTTTAATTATGGCATTTATCCTTAGTGCCAAGGGCAAATACTTGTTCTGAGACAAGCATCATGTATTTGTGGGATGTATTTGTGATAAATGTAGTAGGACCATGAGTCCTAATAAATATATTCAGGAAAAGTAGCAGCCCTATCTAGAAAGATTCTGATAGGAAATCAAATAGGAAGGTCAAGGTAGAGCCATCTTATAAATTCCATGCTAAAAACATTTTAACTTCAAGAACATCAACAATTGTGAACAAATGTTTAACACTTTCAAAGGTATATTAGAATGGCTGAAATATGTAAAGGCAAGTGGGCTGGGGCAAGGGACTCAGTTGAGAGACTATCACAGTCATCCGGGAGAGGAAACTCCGAGCAGTTCGGACAGCAGATTACAAACGCATGTTAGACGTTGATAAATGTAAGGTTTTGCCTGAAGGTGGGCAGCAGGACACAGAGAAGAGGCAGGGTGACTTCAGAGTTTTGAGTCAACCAAATAAAATTCCAAAGCCATTAACCAAGAAGTTAAAAACTGGTGGGGGTGAAGGGGGGTAGTTTTATTTTGAGTATCCCTTTACGCACTTGGCAACATTTCCAAATAACTTTAACCACTGACAAACTAAAAGTAACATACAAAGACTAAAAATTCAAACTGCCAAACCAAAATGAAGTTTTACTAAGTTACAATGTTGCTTTAGGAGCTTTTAAAATGTAGCAATAAACTCAAAAGACTCACACAAAAGCACTTGTTCAAAATAACTCCTAATAAGTGTCAGGCACAGCCAGAATAAGAAGTCTAGCAGGATAAGGTAATATTCCTATTTTCTGGTTGGGGATTGAGAGTATGGATAGGGAAACTGGAACTTCAAATTCACTGCTGTGTTAAGACAGGATGCTAGGAGGAAACAATGGAGCACTATCCAACTCAGCCTCGAGGCTTTGGGGAAAAAAAATCTCTGAGGTGGAGTAGTATTAGACCAGATAAAAGGAACAACCTGTCCAAAAAGCCTCTGGTAAGAAAAGGCATAGCTAAGAATTATACAATAGTTTAAAGTCTGAAGAAAGAGCTCAAGATAAGGACACACCCACACAAAACGTCCAAGGACACATCTACATGAAATGCCCAGCACACAGATGATAATTCAGTAATTTTAAGCTACAAGAGCATATTCAGATTATGAGAAATATGTCCAATCTTGTCTTAGGTGTTTGAAGAGCATTGTAGGTGAGAATTTAAATAAGAACCTTAACCTTAGGATGATTCTGTAAACACATTACTTCTGCAGGGATAGCTCTGCTTGAAGCGGAAAACCAACCAAGCACGAGGCTACAGAACATGAGCAACACTGTGGTAAACTGGAAACATCGCTTTCTAAAGAAGGCAGCCATTTACAACTCTAGTAATTCACTGTTGTGTGAAAATGGCAAGACTGTCTATAATTCAAGAAAAAAATAGGAATTCAGTTTGTATGTGCTATTTCTCATAAGATAGTGGCAACTAATGGCATAAATTGAAAAACAAAAACACCACAATGCCAGCCAAACAAAAGGTGTCTGTCAGTAGATCTGAGCAAGGACCACCCATGTGGCAGGTTAGTGAGGTCTGCCAATTCTGCACTGCACTTTCCACCACTCCAAAGGTTTCCTTTAGGAGCTCCTTGCTCTTAAACTAAATACCCCAAACTGGTAATGTTCTGTGAGGGCTTTTATACATATAAATCAACTCTTCTCTCTCATCTTGTCAAGATACCAAGCTTCAAGCATCATGAGACATACTTCTCCACTTCTACAAGCTAAGCAGTCAAGTGTGCAGGTAAACCAATGTAAAAGCGGAGTAAGGCCTCATGGGATCATTAATGAACAAAGTAGGCACGTCAAAGTGGTCTCTGATTTCCATAGAAAACACCACAGAGGTTTGTAAGCAGTGAGACACTTGAGGATAGAGATCAGTAACTTAAATATGAAAAATAAAAGCAAAGTTTTCCGGCAGTTTCCACCATAAGACACCAACAGGGGAAGGGATGAACAGGGCAAAGGAGAAACTAAAAGTTGCTGGCCTTTGAGGACTATGAAACACCTTTCTAAACTCTGGTATAATAAAAGCCTCCACACAACGGTAAACACTCTAAATTCTCAATTGAAACAAAGCTGTATTTTTCAAAGATAGCTTGAAAACTATGTGAGCAATAAGAAATCTAGATTAAAACTACTGAAAGAGTAAAGCAATTTTTACAGGTAAGGCAAACTAGAGAAAACACAATCTGGTTGTTTTATAATCCATTCAAACACTTAGTACAGTATCTACTAAGTAACAGTGAAGCTTTGGAAGCTTTTAAGATTTAGCCACTAGCAAACTAAAAAACAAACAAAGGCTAAAAATTCAAAATGCCAAACACAACGACAGACTGTTCACAGTGTTGCTTTAGGAGATTTTAAAATGTAGCAACATTTTCAAATAATTTACTTTAACCACTGGAAAACTCGAAGTAACACACAAAGACTAGAAATGTAAAACGCCAAAGCAAACAAGGGTTCCAAGAGTCTCAGACTCCCCAGAAGAACCCATCTGAACACAGTGGCATGAGCATCACCCCTGCAATGGGGGTGGGGGAGTGTCAAGAGAACCGGGAGTTATGACTGAGGGCGAGCAAAGCCAAGCAGGCCATGTTCTCGCTGGCAGGCTACCTTGCAATTACTTAGCAAGCACTGTGGCCAGGGTACTCTCCAGCCCGTAAGAGCGCCTTGGACTCCTAAACCGGGAGGCTGACCGCAGCTCGCTAAGACCGAGAAGCCAGGCAGTGGCCTTCTCTGACCTCCACGGTAAACCGAGGCTCCTCCAGCCGTCTCCTCCGCGCTTGGATTATCCCGATCAGCCCTCCCCGACTGTGTGCGGCCTTCCCACGCGCCCCGGGCGAGTGTCAACAGCTGGAGCGGCCGGGCGCGGGGACCCCGCCGACCCGGGAGAGAGTCGGGGGTGCGCGCCCCGCCTCCCCGCCCTCGGCCTGCCCCGCGCGGACCGCAGCCGGGAAGCGGGCTCGGCGCTCCTACCTTTTTCAGCGCAGGCACCAGCAGCCCCCGCCACTTGGGCGCGTTCTCCTCGCTGAAAAACTCGTAGGGCAGCTGCTGCGCCTGCATGGTGCCCTCGGGACGCCTCGGGGCGGCAGCGTCTCGCGGCGCGGAGCAGGGCCGCAGCCCGCGCACTGCCCGGCACCCTCGGGGCGCCGCGCGGCCCGGCTAGCGCTGGCGAGGCGGCTGGGGGGCGAGGCCCGCGGCCGGACACCCACCCGACACGCGAACCGGTCGCCGAGAGCCAGCGCAGCCCGGCGGTGGCATCCCGCACGACCGCCCCGGGGCAGGCTCCCTGCTCCGCCCCGGGCCTCCCTCCGCCTCCCGCACCCGGGACTGCGCTCCCCGGCACGGCCTGGGCCGCCGAGAGACGGCGCGTGGAGGGACGTTCTAGCCGGTGGCGCCCGGTCGCTCGCGGGGAAGTCGGGCGCGAGGCTCGGAGCGGGGCGGAGCCCGGGGGCCGGGGTCGGGCGGGGGCGGGGAAGGGCCCGAGTTCGCTGCCGGGTAGCCCGGCCGCTGCGCTCCGCCGCCGCCGGTGGAGCGCAGGAGCTTCCTACTAGCGAACTGAACCTGCCCGCGACTGAGCATGCGCCGCCGGCCCGGGCCGGCTCGCTCCGGGTTTTCCGGCCGCCCGCCCGCCCGCCCGCCCGCCGATGAGGAGGGGCGCGCGCAAGAGGCTGGGAGGGCACTGCAGGGGCGGGGCCGAGGGACCCTGAAGGCGAACCCCGGACCGGAGGGCCAGGGCGTGAGGGTGTGCGAGCAGGCAGAGCGCCCCCTTTGTGTGGTCCCGGAGCCCGGAGCCCACCCTGCTCCGGGAGATCCTGAGACCCTGGGTCTCAGAAAAGGGGTGTGTGTACTTTGTTCCCGGCGTGAAGATAAGGAGTGCCCTGAGCATGCACTGTGTACTAAACAGATTGCACAAAAGATAGGTTCCTTCTCACAAAAACTACTGCTCAGTATTTGCTCGGTGGGAGGAGAGCTCGTCCTGTTTCCCTTGTCCTTTCCATAACATGAAAACGTGTACGTGTGATAGTTATTGACCAGGTATACTCAAACCCGCAGGCGTTTAGGTATGGGCCTAGTCCGCCCCGCTTTGCATCTTTCATGGCTTCAGCTGGATAATTAGCTTCTGGAAAAAAACTTTCTGTTTTGTTTGTTCCTTCCTGGTACACGACCCAGAGTAGGGACATGAAGATCCTGGATTGCTATAGAAGCAGTGTCTACGGATTGTCCTTCCATCCCAGGGATGCAGACGCTTACAGTAGTGGCATTGTGCAACACCGTGCCACGCTACGCTTTATCATCGAACGCTCTCCCAGGAAAGTGCCTTTTTAGTTCTCAGAGTTTTCATTTCATAGATGAGAAGGCAGTTCGAAGAACAGCCTGGGCTCAAATTGACATTATGTCCAGCTGTTTTGGAATACAATAGACAAGATCTCACAGATAAAAAAATGTTTGAAACTAGCGCTCTTAATCTTTAGATGACCTCCTAGAATCTGAACGAACTCTTCACATCTTCCCTTTTATAATATGCACACAAAATGTACACATCATTCCAAACAACCCCCCATACTTTGAACGTGTTCAAGACGACATTTTGAAGTCCATCGGTAAACCATCTGAGTTACAGCAGAGCTGGCAAAATGACTCGGCCAATAAACGGCTCTTACCCCCATGCGTGAGAACCTGAGAGTTCTGTCTCAGGAGCACACAGGAAAGAGAAAGACTGACTGCTCAAGAGTTGTCTTTCGGCCTGCATACATGTTCAGTGGCAGGTCCTCCACACACAGATTCTTTAAAGAGAGAGGCGGTGGAACCACAGCTTGGGAAGGGGTTGGAAAAGGAGTTTCAGAGACCAACAAACATATCAGTTATTTTCAGCGACTGGTTTGTGTGGTTCAAAGTGACTGGACCAAATTGGCTCTCTGTAGAAAGTGTATCCTGGCTCCTCGTTACTATTAAATACATTTCACGGTGAGAGCGGTGGCCTAGGATCCCAGCTTTTGGGAGGGAGGCAGAGAGAGGTACAAGGACAATCTCAGCTACACAGGGAGTTAGGTCCAGGCTAGCCAGCGCTATCTCAGAAACTAAAGAGTAACCTCAAAGTTCTGCACCTGACTCCTGCTTAAGAAATTCTTAACATTTCCTCACAACGGTCAATCACAGTCCATCAGACTCTGGTCACACTGGCCTTGTTAATTCCCGGAAAACAACGCTCCCGCGACCATGGCTTTTCCCAATCTGGAGCACCCAGCTGTCCACGTGACTGGTCTTTTCTGATGAGTTTAGTTAACTACCATCTCTTAGAGTCTACCATGAGTCCTATGTCAGTCTTTCCCAGCACCCGGTTATCTGTTCCTCGTGATCTCCCCTCAGCAGAATGTAAATGTCAAAAGGTCAGCACTTTTCTGTATGGAGTTCAATAATACAATAATTTCAGGATTTAGCATGTGCCCAGAGGGAGGCTTTGTTTTAAAGACATCCAAGTCGCATAGGGGAAACCTGAAGTGAGAATGCAAGGAGTTGCTTGGTGTACTGAGACTAGCCTTTAAGCCCAGCACTCGGCGGGAGGCAGAGGTAGGTGGATCGGTGTGGGTTCGAGGCCAGCCTGGTCTACAAATCTACATGTACTTACTTCAAGATGTCAAGAGATCATTAAAGGATTGGTAATTGAACTCCAAGAGTCCCTTCAACTAGGAATCTGACTTAAGTGCACAAGGGGAGAAGCCCCGGGATCACGGACTGTCGAGCTCAGCGGCCAGGTCAGGTTTCCACCTGGGTGAAGTTGTGGTTGCAGACAGAGAACGGCTCAAGGGAAATGGCTTCCCGGAGTGGCGGGAGGGGAAACCAGCGCAACTGAGGTCCGGGAGCTCTCGAGCCTGTGTCAGCGGTCCGCCAACATCTCTTAGGACAAAAGCAACGCCAGGCTCAGACGCGCGTGCGTTCGCACGCAGAGGTCCGCCGACCGGCGGCGCAAGCGCAGAGGCTCCCCTTGGCGCCACCCGGCGGTGCGAGGCAGCCTCTCCGCCAGAGCGGAGGTGACGCACGGGGCTGCGGCGGGAGCGTCCAGGCCAAGTAGACGAGTTCCGAGCGCATCGGACCTGGGGCAACCCGGGAGGGGGCGGGGAGGACGCCCGGCCATGACAGCGCCCCCTGCAGGTGGAAGGGGGCCCTGCTGGTCGGGACAAGACCACGTGGCTGACTCCATCGCGGCCGCAGTAACCTTAAGCCCGCTTGGGATCTAGCTAGTTCCTGTTCAAGAGTATCTACTGGTGTCCCCGAACAAAGTCCGAAGTCCTTAACCCGGTACTCATCGATTTGCATAATCGCGCCAGCTACTTATCGCTCCAAATGCTTCTCTCCCTCTTGCCTCCCGCGCACCCATCACTGATCCATGCACGTGCTGTTCCAAGTGTAACTTTTCTCCACCTCAGACCCCCTGGTACTCTAGGAACTCTCACCCAATCTGCGCCCCACCCCTTTTCCACCCCCAACGTAAATACCATTTCTCTGCAGCCCTAAGTCTCCATACAGGATTCCTGCCCGTGAACTTCGGGGTCTCACAGGTATTAAGCATAGCAGCTTCAACCGTTACAAAATGCATTGGGCTCCCAGTGAAGTATATCCAACTCGCATTCTTTACTTCATTCTTTGTTTCTCAATCCTTACCTTCAATTCCGCTGTTGCAAATAGTGTTCCCTCTGAAAACACACCGGAGAACACGCAGATTGAGGAGAGCAACCGAATGCCTGCCAGCTAACACTCATTCTGCATCCTTTTCCCTCCCTCCTCCCACTTTGCAAGGGTGGTAGGAAGCAGGGTAAGTTATTAATGAATTAATGAGTAATGAGTTAAATGAAATGATCAAAGGATCGTCAAGACACACAGGCCTGTTCTTTGCACTAGCTGTGCTTGTCATCATCCCGACAGAGCTGAAACTTCCGGCAAAATCTCCATTTGATTCAAGTAATTGATAGGTCTGCAAACTGACCGCCTCAGTGCAGCTTAATCAAATCCCCAACACGATTTTTGAACACGACAAACTAATTCTAAGCTGGGAATGAAAGAACATAAGGCCAATTTTCTTTAAGATAACAAGGCTTGTGTGTGTGTCCTTATGCCTGTGTAAACGGGATTTTTTTGTCGTATTATTTTTTGTGTGCATAGTGGGGGTAGGGTGTCTCGTGAAAGCCAATTTACCTCAAAACCACTATGTAGCTAAAGACGACACTGAACTTTTGATCTTCCTTCCTTCACCTGCCAATTCCTGGGATTGCAGTTGTCATTACCAGGGTTGAGTTTACTTATGTAAAGAGTAAAAAATTTAAATTCCAAAGGCTGACATTGATAGAGTATCAGCTAGTCTGAAGCTTTGTTCAGATTCACCAAAGTGTCCCAACAACATTTTTTATAGAGATTGTTTTGTTTGAACATTTTTTTACAGAGATTGTTTTGTTTTGTTTGCTGATAGGCATGTGTCACCACACACAAATGACTTTAACAAAGACTGTCTTCCCATTCATAAAGGTTATTTATTCATTATTATGGTGCTGGGAATTGAGCATTGCTACTTCCAACTTGTTTCTTCTTAATCTCCTTCAGACAAGTACTCTCCCACTAAGTTATAGCCTCAATTTTTATGTCTTTCAATAATGGTTTGCAGTTTCTGTAGTATAGCAGAGAAGCAGTGATCATTGTTGATAAACACACTTGTGAGTACTTTATTCCTTTTTAATTTTTTTTTTTTTTTTTTGGTTTTTCGAGACAGGGTTTCTCTGTGGCTTTGGAGGCTGTCCTGGAACTAGCTCTTGTAGACCAGGCTGGCCTCGAACTCACAGAGATCCACCTGCCTCTGCCTCCCAAGTGCTGGGATTAAAGGCGTGCGCCACCAACGCCCGGCTCCCCTTTTTAATTTCTAAGGATGCCAGGCTCATACATCCACTGGCTGGGATGGGATTTTATTTTTATTTTATTTCAAGTCATTTAAACTTTACCAGAAGATGGTTATTTTCAAATTTAAGCATGCAAATTTTGAGAATAGCAGTTATAAATGATATGTTTTGGCTCCTGTTGTCACCAAACCACCTATGCACATGTACAGATATTTTTAGGGAGTTTGACTTTCAACATGCAGATGTATAGTCATTATTTATGTAATTCAGCTATATGATCTTGTCTGACAGCTATCTAAGTATGATCTCAAGAAGACTTAGAATTCATTCTACTGAAATTGATTGCTAGACGGAAATACTGAACACTTCTTTGAATTCATGACAGGAAAACCTCTCTGCATATTTAAAATTAATAAAATGTTGAATATAGTAGGATGGGATTTCAAAATTACACTTTTACCTGGTTATTGCCAGATTAAGGGGGAAATACCTTTAAAAAGTAAGTGGATTGATGTGACCAGTTTATTTAAGTCTTTTCATTTGTTGCAGTAGTTTTGTTTAGTAGTGCTGTGGATTGAACCCAGGACTTCATTATGCTAGGCAATCATGTCACCAAATGAGCTAAATCCCCAGCTTCAATATTTTTGGGGGTTTTGTTTAATTATTTGTTTAAAATCTTTGGCTTTTCTGGAATGCGATAGTTTTATTTATACTCTAGTATGTGTGTGTGTGTGTGTGTGTGTGTGTGTGTGTGTGTGCGCGCGCGCGTGTGAAAGGAACAACTTTGTGTCATCATTTCTTTGCTTCCACCTTTATATGGGTTCCAGGTACCAGACTTGTGAAGCAAGTGCCTTTACCTTCTGAGTCCCTGTCACCACCCTTGCTATGATTTTTATAGCAACACTTAGACTTTGCCTCCAAACATTACATAAAGGTGGAGGGAAATTAGATCAAGAATCGAGAATACTCATAGATCTTTCTAACAGCTCTGCCTTGATTCTGATTGATAATGTATCCATTACTGATATAGAGAGCTGTTCAATCCAAAAAGTCATCTGAAGGGGTTGGAAAGATGGTTCAGTGCTTAAGAATGCAGAGTGCTTGCTGAGACCTGGAGAGATGACTGAGCAGTTATGAGCACTGGCTGATCTTACCCAGATTCTCTTCCCTGCACCACATGGCAGCTCACAGCCATCTGTAACTCCAGTCCCAGGGCAACCTTTGCCTTCTTCTGGTTTCCTTGGGTATTACTTGCAGGTGATGCACAGACATGCATGCAGTTAAAACACACACACACACACACACACACACACACACAAAGGCCAGGTGTGGTGGTGCACAACTTTCATCCCAGCACTCCTGAGGCAAACATGGGTGGATCTCTTTGAGTTCCATGCTAGCTAGGACTACATAGTAAGACCCTCCCTTAAAAAAAGTCAGCTATCAATCAAATGAATAAACCATTGATTCTGCAGCTAGCTAAGAACCATCCTACTTCTGCACAGTCCCCATTAGTGTTTTTTCACCTGCTCTCTCTTGTGATTCACTTCCAGAGTCTCACAGGACTACTGCTGTTTGGTGGGACCCAACCAAATCTTACACCCTAGCCACCAGAGTCTGAAAAGTGGAGGTTTGTTTTGTTTTAAAGCTTAGTCTTAGTGTTCTTTAATATGCAATTCCTGCCATGGCAATCTTTAGAATATCAAGAAAATTTTTCTTCTATTTCTGATTTTTTTGGTAAATACAACAAATATTTATTAGTAATTTTCTATTTTGAGGGGCATTGGTTTCTTACTTGTTTTGTGTTTGTTTATAAGCAGGGTCTTATGCAGTCAGGCTGCTCTTCAACTTGCTATGTAGCTAAGGGTGACCTAGAACTTCTGATCCTCCTGTCTCTACTGTACTGATATTACAGATATACTCCACCATCTCCAGTTTATGTGCTGAGGGGATCAAACCCACGGCTGTGAGGCAAACACTAACTGAGCTATACCCCAGTCCTATCTACATTCACCACTCCTAAGTGTACATTTTCAATGGTAATGATATTAAGTTAATCAGTCTCTATTCCTTCATCTTGGAAGTCATTATTTTTTCCATTTCTATGCATTTTTATTATGAGTGTTAATTGACATCATACAGCATAGTCATATGTTGCCTAACAATTGAGTTTTTTAAATTAAAAAAATCTCATTTATGATCAGGCATGGGGGTGCATACCTTTAACTCTTTAGGAAGACAGGTCTCTGAGAATTGGAAGTCAGACTGGTCTGCATTACCATGTTCCAGGCCAGTTAGGACTGCATAGTGAGAGCGTGTCTACAAAAGGTTCTAAATTATTATTAGTCTGTGTGAATATGTGTATATGTGTGTACACAGCACAGAGCACGTGTAGAAGTTAGAGGACAACTTTGTGGAGCCAATCTTCTCCCTCCATTTTATGAGGGCTCCAAAAATCAAATTCAGGTTGCTAGGGTTATGTGGCATCTACCCTCTGCTCAGCCCAGAGGTATGTTAGGCAATTTTGTCCTTATGCAAGCATTATGTACGGCTGCTATATGTGAATGTGATTAGTTCATTGCACTTAACAGTATTTTTTTTCAAGACAGTGTTTGTTTTCTCTGTGTGGCCTTGGAGCCTGTCCTGGAATCCACTCTGTAGACCATGCTGGCCTCGAACTCACAGAGATCCACCTACCTCTGCTTCCTGGGTGCTGAGATTAAAGGTCCGCACCACCACTACCCAGCTAAATATAATATTCTTTTTTCCTTTTTCCCTTTCTTTCTTTCTTTCTTTCTTTCTTTCTTTCTTTCTTTCTTTCTTTCTCTTTCTTCCTTTCTTTCTTTCTCCCTTTCTTCCTTCCTTCCTTCCTCCCTCCCTCCCTTTCTTTCTTTCTTTCTTTCTTTCTCTCTTTCTTTCTTAGACAGGGTTTCTCTGTGTAGCCCTGGCTGTCCTGGAACTCACTTTGTAAACCAGGCTGCTGCCTCTGCCTCTGGAGCACTGGCATTAAAGGCCTGCACCACCACTGCCCAGCTTAACATAATATTCTTTAAGTCAAGCTTCATTCAAGTTATAGCATATAACAGATATTCCTTATTTATTTTTTGTGTTTGGACAGGACTCAGAAGGGGAATCAGGAGGGTCAGTCTGGCCTCTGATACATGTAGAACTAGAGATCAGCTTGGACTATTTCTTTTTTCAAAATATACATATGTCCTTCTTTTGATCTATATGAAATTTGAGAGGAAAGCTGCTGAATTTTATGAAATGATTTTTCAGTATGCCTGAACATGGTATTTTTCTTTCATAATGCCATAACCATATTTTCCATCCCCTACACTTGACACAATTTCACTGCTTCTGGCTATGAGAATTATAATCCTCCTTGGCCTCCTGAATTTCTGAGAGTCCAGG